TATGAGATGCCAAGGCAATCTGACTATAGGACATAGAGGTATTGGTAACCTCTGGTAGAAAGAGTAGACGTCATCTTTACATATCTGCTAGGATGGAAGTGACAACAGATGCTCCAAGAAGATTCCATTTGTTGAGCATCTACTAAATGCACTGTATTCAAATATATGTCATTTTAATATAAACTCCAGAGTATATTTGTTGAACTAGTAAGAATAATTATTAGACATATCTTTTATCAGTAACTTTCAGTTTCTTACTACACCATTTTCATGCAACAAACAGGATTTAGGCCGTGTGAACTCCTAATCATGATTGTAAGGAAAATTGTTCTCTGATAGATACTGTAAAGGATATAATGAGATATGGTACCATCCTTAAGGAACTTGACAGTTTAACTGGGTAAGTGAATCATTCACTCTGGAGAAGTGACTAAATCAAGAGGTAATCCCAAGGTAAGACAATGTCACAGGAGATGTCACAAGGCACTCATATGCCAACAAATGGTATAAAGCCTGAGTTTAAAGAAGGTTGAGGTCACTGTAGGGAGATGGGTGTTTATTGAGGAATAGCTTCAAGGAGGAGGCAGGACTTAAACTTATCCTTCACAAAGTATTTCCCAAACTTCTAGATTGCTAGTTCTGAATTTTTGCCATATTAACAAACTGTCTATATTGTGATTTTTCCAATTTCCTTTTAACTGACAAGTTTATGGTAAATACCATTTCTTTGTCTTCAATCATGAAATCCACGAAATCACATGTTTGATATGCTTTTGTATTTGATATGTGTTTTTCTATTACACATGAAACAAACACAGAAAATCCTCATTATGTCAATCCTTAATCAAATATTGAGTATTTTTCTGATAAAATAATTTAAATTTTGTGGCACAATTTAAAATATTAAAACCATCAAAGTGACCTAGTTAGAGGTTTTAATATTCAAATTGTTTTTTGAGTAATTTATTTTGTTATCACTCTTGTAAGTTTTCTCTTGTTTAGTTAACTGATATAATTCTTCTGGATCTTTTTTAGTGGATTAGCATGTAACTTAAGCATTTATCAATCATTATTTTCCTTGATCTCACAAAATCCTGTGTCTTTTGTTCAGATTTGCAACTTGACTTTCCTACAGCTTTGGAAATATACTGGGTTTACCGTATATTGGAGAAATTAAAAGCATCATTGATAGTATTAGTGAGGATATTAGTGAGGATGTTGCTAAGTGGAAGGAATGTTTAAGTCAATTCTCAGGTCAACAATGACTATTTTAGTGTTAGGATTACTTTTTTCCTATGTATTCTTTAGCCCTAGGGCAGCCTTCTCAAAACATTTTATATCAGAAACATTTGAAATATTCTCAAGGATCAGGGAACTCCTAGATGAAAAGTGTAATCATTTAGCTGTAGATACTATAATCCAATAATAACTGCTAGTGCTCTTTTAAACAGAGTGGTGTTTTCCTGAAAAATCTGTTTAGTTTGGCTGACATTTTAGGCTATTCTTTTGTTGGTCCCCTCTTCTTGCATATTTCAATGGTGTATATAGAATAGACTTCAGTTTTTCCCTTTTAAAATGTCCTCCTTGACTTTTGGTACCTTACCTAAGTAAGACTAGAAGTATTATCAAACCTTTCTGTCATATAAATGCTATTGAGATATAGTATGTGATATATGGTAAGATGCAAGCTTAGGTTTTTTCCTTCCTACTTAAGACTGAAAATGATTTTTTATACAGCCTTTTTAGAAGAGGAAAATAAAAACCAAGTAGTTAACTTTGTTTCTTGAAATCAATCTCTTTTATCCTTTTTATAAATTTAAAAAATTTTAAGGCAAACATAATATGCTTTTTTTAAGTAACTGGTTTAAGTCAAAATGGGATATAATATTTCTAAAGGTAGTTTGTTAGGTTTATTTAAATAACATTTATGAACTTACATTAATGTTGTTTTCAACAGGAAAATAAATTAACAGTATTGAATAACAAAGTTACTAAAACTATATGTCAAAGCAATATGAGTAAAATTATAGCCTAAGACAACATTTTCTAAGAGACTTTGAAAGAAACCATCTTCTTTTTTTTTTTTTTTTCCATTTATTTTTATTAGTTGGAGGCTAATTACTTTACATCATTGCAGTGGTTTTTGTCTTACATTGAAATGAATTAGCCATGGATTTACATGTATTCCCCATCCCGGTCCCCCCTCCCACCTCCCTCTCCACCCGATCCCTCTGGGTCTTCCCAGTGCACCAGGCCCGAGCACTTGTCTCATGCACCCAACCTGGGCTGGTGATCTGTTTCACACTAGATAATATACATGTTTCGATGCTGTTCTCTTGAAACATCCCACCCTCGCCTTCTCCCACAGAGTCCACAAGTCTGTTCTATACATCTGAGTCTCTTTTTCTGTTTTGCATATAGGGTTATCATTACCATCTTTCTAAATTCCATATATATGTGTTAGTATACTGTAATGGTCTTTATCTTTCTGGCTTACTTCGCTCTGTATAATGGGCTCCAGTTTCATCCATCTCATTAGAAATGATCCAAATGAATTCTTTTTAATGGCTGAGTAATATTCCATGGTATATATGTACCACAGCTTCCTCATCCATTCGTCTGCTGATGGGCATCTAGGTTGCTTCCATGTCCTGGCTATTATAAACAGTGCTGCGATGAACATTGGGGTGCACGTGTCTCTTTCAGATCTGGTTTCCTCGGTGTGTATGCCCAGAAGTGGGATTGCTGGGTCATATGGCAGTTCTATTTCCAGCTTTTTAAGAAATCTCCACACTGTTTTCCGTAGTGGCTGTACTAATTTGCATTCCCACCAACAGTGTAAGAGGGTTCCCTTTTCTCCACACCCTCTCCAGCATTTATTGCTTGTAGACTTTTGGATAGCAGCCATCCTGACTGGCGTATAATGATACCTCATTGTGGTTTTGATTTGCATTTCTCTGATAATGAGTGATGTTGAGCATAAGAATCCATCTTCTTACTGAGTGGCAATGTCAGGATTATGTAGATAATTATAAGATCGATATACACATGTGTTGGTTTCATGATCATTTTAATAGGCCTAAAAATGCACTTTAATTTTAGTTGCCATTTGGAACTAGAAATAAATGATTAAATTTATTTTTTAAAGAATGATTATGTTTATTGCTTTAATGTGACACCTGTGCCATTTGCTGTTGTTGCTTATTTACTTGATTCTGGGTTTAATGTGAGATAAGTTCCCATGGATTTTATTTTCAGCTAAAATGAGACAATTTCTGTCCTTTTTCTTGATGCTTCTTAAAAAATACTTTCTCATACATTGTTGTTGCTGTTGTTGTTCAGTCACTAAGTTGTATTCTACCCTGCAACACCATGGACTGCACATGTCAGGTTCCTCCGTCCTCCACTATCTCCCAGAGTTTGCTCAAATTAATGTCTGTGAGAATTATCATACATATACACAGAGATAAAGATGGCAGTAAGCCCTGAAACCCACTTCAAAAACTGATAATGGATATAACCAAATGATCATGGTCCTGCTTTATAAGACTAAAAAACCTATGTGTCCACGCTAAGTTTCTTCAGTCATATCTAACTCTTTGCGACCCACTGGACTACAGCCCACCAGGCTCCTCAGTCCATGGGATTCTCCAGGAAAGAATACTGAAGTGGGTTGCCATGCCCAGGATTGAACCTGCATCTCTTATGTCTCCTGCATTAGCAGGTGGGTTCTTTACCACTAGCGCCACGTGGGAAGCCCTAAAAAATCTATAGCAGCTGCTATTCGAGCACCGTGGTCACTGTGTCATCTTTTGCAGAACTCCCTAATGACATCTTATAGAGCCCCACATGGTGTTGCACAGAATCCCATTTCAGAAACTCTGCCCTAGGGACTTGGATAATATATACAAGGATAATGTGAACCCCTGTAATTAATTATTAATCTAAATTTTTTTCAGTCTGTATACCACTGAAAATTGTGTCATCCGTATTTTGTGAAACAGTGTATAAAAGGGCAAGTAAAATCTGGATATGTTTAAAAGAGGGGGAAAAGGCATGACAAATGAGAATAACCAGAACAAAGGCCAGTAGGGCAGGGGTTCTATAATAAATAGAACTGGATAACACACACAAAGAACTTTTTGACAAAAGTAGAGGGGCCTGAAGTTGGGGAAACATTATGGTTGAGTTGTAGAGGCCTTGAATTGAAGAAAACAAAGGTCTTGAAAATCCACTAAGATTTTGAAGAGTAAATGAAACTTGTGAAATTGGGAGAAGATGAATCTGGCAGTGTGGGAAGAATCTAGAAGTAGACAGGCAAGTACATTCTTGTGATAATTCATGCAAGTGTAAATAAAAGCCAGAACCAGAATGGTGGCCATAGATGTGAAGGAATGGGATGGGTTTGGAACTTAAGGTGAATAGCTTTCATGATATCTGGGGTCAACCTGACAATGAACATAGTTCTATTAGTGGTTATGGTATTAATATTTCCATTTTCAGAAATATTAAAATTGTGAAATTGAGTGAATTTTTTTTGGAAGTGTTTCTAGGTTGAGTTGTTTTCTGAGACTCCCCAACCAGTCATCTTCCCTGGCCTTGTCTCCTGACACTATTCCTCTCATTTCATTTCATTAGAGAGTACAGATCCCACAGTGCCAGATTTTCAGATTTTTTAAGAACTGTAAATCTAGCTAGTTTGTGATACCTTTCCATTTCTAAATGTTAGCAATTCAATTTTTTTTAACAAATAAAATATACTATATCCTATGTACTAGACTTGGTTGCCAATTTGTGACCTTTATCTGGAGTTGTGTATGCTGCTTTCAGAAATCACCTTGAAGTGAACCCTGAACCAAATGGTAATAGTCCCTTTTGGAAGCCTCTGTATAATTCTTATTAGCAGGAAGCTCATAGAAATGTTTTTTTTAGTAGTTAATATTTTCATTTTGTTGGGATGTTGATTTGCAAGTTACAGGCCTTTCTCTGCTTCTTCCCAGCCAGGTCTCTAGACAAACTTTATAACTTTGCTGATTGCTCTGGACTCCATCTGATATTTGCTCTAAATGCACTGCGTCGTAATCCCAATAACTCCTGGAACAGCTCTAGTGCCCTGAGTCTGTTGAAGTACAGTGCCAGCAAAAAGTACAACATTTCTTGGGAACTGGGTAATGGTAAGTAAGGATGTTATTTCCTCTGAATTGACAAGATAAAGGGTAAAAAATAAATTGGCTCGGGATATAGTCTCAGACCATATCTAGTACATCCCAGAAAACTACTGGGGTTGTTTGACCATTGAGTTGACTTTCCAAAAAGACCAAACAGTTGGAGAGTAGATTTAGTGAATCACACTATTTGCATCTGCAGTTACCTCTAGTTGCCTTATTCCAAATATAGGGGAAATGCCGTGTGTGACTTATAATTAACAAATTGATGTTAAATCAGATATAGCCTATCTGCACAGCCTAAGCTGCATTTTACAGTGTGTCTCTGTGGAACACTGGTCCTGTAAGATGACCTTATAATAATTCAAAAGAGTTTGGTGAAGTATATTCGGGAACTGATCTTCAGTATATGTACGTCTTGAAGGTTCACAATGCACATTAGCATATAAAAGACTCTGCGAAGTCCTCCTGCAATGAAATCTGTATAACATTTTAATCCAGCTTTAAAATTTTTTTTTACTTCAAGATAGCATCTCTCTTTTTAAAATTTATTTATTTTGACCAAGCTGTGCAGCATGCAGAATCTTAATTCCCCTGACCAGGGATTGAACTGGTGCTCCCTGCATTGGGAACACAGAGTCTTAACCACTAGACCACCAGGAAAGTTTCGGCCCAGCATTTAAAAAAATCATTTTAAAAATAGGTTTTGATTGGTTTCAGGGGCATGCATCCTGTGTAGTCACATAGGATCCCATGCTTAGAAGAGAATCATGCTTGATTTAATGCTATCATGCTTGATTTAATGCTCTTCTATTATCATCTTGACACGACTGAGTGACTGAACTGTCATCTTATTTTTTAAATAAAAGGATCTACATTTTCATTTTGCATGGGGGCCTGAAAATTATGTAGGCAGTCATGTTTAATCATTGCAGTCTATGTGTGTGTGTGTGTGTGTGTGTGTGTGTGTGTGTGAGAGAGAGAGAGAGAGGGAGACAGACCTATTATCATCTCATGGAACAATGTTCCATGGAACACACTTGGGAGAAATACTGCCTAAGTCGCACTATTTTTCCTAGCGATATGAATGTATGATTTGTTATATATATGATATTCTGTAAATTCCATGACTGTCTAGTATTATTGAGTCAGCTAATATGGATTATAGTTAAAATTATGGATAATTTAAATTGGAAAATATTCTGATTCCCTAATTAAAAGGCATTTTGGTAAATTTTAGAACAAAACAATTGAGTCTAATAAACCAAGAATTCTTTTAAAATTACTGTTACAAATTGATATTAACATTTTTGTCCATGACCTCGTATATATATGCTAACTCATATTTGTTTGGAGCACTGTGTGTGTGTGTACACATGCACATGCACATGTGTGTTTTTATGCACTCTAGAATTTGAAATTCTCATAAGGAAGCAGGAGATGAGGATTTTTTAAAAACAAGTGTCTTTTTTTCCTATCAGTAACCATTTACTGGAATGTAGCTCTCCCTTCCCTGAAGTCGGGGAAACTGGGGGAGAGTTAGCCACCAAATGGAGACTTGAGCTGAACTGAAGCTAATTTGGATACAACGAGCATAACTAGGGTAGCCTGAGATTTTTCATCTTTCAAGCAGTCTAGGTATCATACATTCTAGGACAAAAGCAAGTGTGATGTGGTCAGCTTAGAATGAGGCAAAATTATTACACAGTAGACAAAGACATTACTGATCTCTTCCCATCCTATCTTCTATTTCATGTCAGAATATCTTGACATTCTTTGGTATTTCGTGTTGTCTACTCATGATTACCATACCTAACCTTACCCTGCTCCTATATTAGACTCTACCCAGCTTAGCTCTTTTCTCCAAACACAACAAAATACTGTTCAAACAATGCATTCTCCAAACAGGACATTATAGCTGTCATAAGGGACAATGTTTAAAATGAGTGAGTGAAAGACAGTAAGGAGTGGTAGTGCCTCTGGTGAGCTACAGAATACATGCTCTGCCTAAACTTTTTGTTTTCTTTCTAAATTATTTCTAAATAAAATTTGTTTGTAAAAGAATCTCAGCTGTATTGTAAAGTAATTATCCTCCAATTAAAATAAATAAAAAGAATCTCAGATGGTTGTAGATAAGCACAAAGCAATTAAAACTTACTTACAAGTGACTGATGGGAGTAATTCCTCCAGGGTTTTTGGTATCTCTAAATTTGGGAGCTTATTAAACTAAGTAAATCTTTAATTGATATAACTGAAGTGATTTAGTGGCAGAAGGTGGGTGGGGAGAATATATGCATCTTTCTGTATATATCCATCTGTTCCAAATAACTGAGAGTCTGCCTCTTTCCATCCTTCCCCAAAATTATGCTGAACAGTTTGGAGATGGAGCTAATTGCATTTTAAAAATGTTCAGTCACCTTAGCCACACTTGATTCTCATCATCATCTTTTTGGTGTCTCTTCAAGGATTAACAAAAACAAAGAATCAGTTTTGAGGAGGAGAAAAGGCATGGTCATAGGTAAGAAAATAGATATATAGACAGGAATAGATAGAAAAATAACCAAGGCTATGAATTTAAAAATTCAATAAGGTAGAAAGTATCTGGTAAGGTTTCTTGTGAGAATTTTCATCAAGATAGATATAGTTTTTTGAGTTTCTAGTCAACAAGACTGGAGTTGGTCTGTTTACCTATTCTTCCTTTTATTTGAAAGTTGTATTTCTATTTTTTGATATGACAAATAAGTAGTCTGCCCAACTAAACATATCTTCTAGGGTTTGAAGATTTATCTGGTTGCTTTTTCTAATTCATTTTAAACTACTGACAGCTTTTCTTATGCTAGTATCATATCCCTAGAGATATCTAGTGTATTCTGTTCACAACTATTCTGTGTTGTATATTCAGGCCCTTGCCCCTCAAAAATTATCTGGTCATCCTCTTGGCCTGGATTTGTCTCTCTAATCTTTTATCCATTTTCTTCTCTGTAACCTTATCTTTTTGGACAGATGTAATAGTTTAACTATTATATCCACATTTAGGGAGGGACAATAGAACTGGTCAGTTCTCTTATCACTCAACCTCCCATATACTCACATCCTGTTAACAAGTACTTTAGAGTAAATCTGGCATTGGAAAAACTGAAGTAGATATTTCTTTGGTTGTTTCTCCTAGAGTAGCTAAACTTCAAGTGACTTACTTTTTTCTTCTTTAAAATTGGTGAATAGTGTGGGCTACAGACCATGAAAACAAAAATATACTCAATTTCAAGAGGTGAAAATTTAGAAAGCTTAGGATGTCAAAGATTATGAAAGAATGACTTCCCTGATACAAGATTTTTAACAACTATGTTTTGTAGATATGATATGTTTCCTTGCATGTTGTGTCTGACTGTTTGCAACCCCTTGAACTATAGCCTGCCAGGCTCCTCTTTTCATGGAATTTTCCAGCCAAGGATACTGGAGTGGGTTGCCATTTCCTACTCCAAGTCACCACTTTACCTGCTTACTTTTTTCCTTTCCCTCTCTGCCTGCTTCTCACCTTCATCAACTGTCTTCTCTATTCTTTATCCACATACTCCCATCTACACATATACTCTCAATAAGTTCATAGACTTATACAACTATTTCCACAGTCCAACTTTAGAACATTTCCATAACTCCAAAAAGATCCCTCATGCTGGTTTTTAACCAGTCTCTGTAACCATTCCCAGTCCCAGGAGACATTAATCTGCTTTTTGTCTTTTGTGGACATTTTGTGTAACTGGAATCGTACAGTATGTAGACTTTTGCATCTGTAGACTTCTTTCACTTAGCATGTTTTTGAGGTGTATCCATGTTGTAGCATGTAAAAGTAGTTCATTCCTTTTAGTTGCTGAATGCTATTCCAATGCATGAATATACACATATATTCATATATATATACATGTGTGTGTGTATATATATGTGTGTGTGTGTATATATATATATAACATATATATATATATATAACATATATATATATATAACATATATATATATATATATATATATATATATCACATTTTGTTTTTCCACTCACCAGATTATAGGCATTTAGATTATTTCTACTTTTTGATTATGATTAGTAATGGTGCTGAAATATTCATTTACAAGTCTATGTGTGGATATATACTTTCATTTCTTATAGGAAGATACCTCAGAGGGGAATGGAGTTGCTAGTTTGTATGGTAAATTTATGTTGATTTTTGAACAAATTAACCACATCACTTTCCAAAGTGGTTGTACCATTTTACATTTTCTTTAGTGATGCATGAGGATTACAGTTTTTCTACATCTTTGCAAACACTTTTTATTGTCTATCTTTTTTATTAGAGCCATTTTAGTGGGTTTGAAGTAGTATATTAATATGACTTTAATTAGCACTTTTCTAATGACAAGTGATATTGAGCATCTTTTCACATGCTTTTCAACCATTCTTACATTTTCTTAGGTGAAATGTCTACTCAAATCTTTTGTCTTTTAAATTAGGTCATCATATTGTTTAGTTGTAAGAGTTTTAAATATATTCTGAATGCACGATCTTTATCAAACATATGATTTACAAGTATTTTCTCCCAATCTGTAACTTATTTTATCATTTTCTTTATGGCATCTTTTGAAGTTCAGATGCTCTGAATTTTGATAAAGTTCAGCATATCAATATTTTTTTTGATGTGTTGTGCTTTTGATATTATATCTTTGCCTAATCCTAGATCACAAAGATTTTTTTAACCCAAGGTCACAAAGAGTTTTTTCTATTTTTTCTTTTAAAAGCTTTGTAGTTTTTGCTTTTACTTTTAGAAATAAGATCCAATAGGAGTTAAATTTTGAGTATGATGTGAAATAAGAATCTAAATTCATCTTTTTGCATATGGCTATTAAACTGTCCCAGCACTGTTTATTTAAAAGATTTTCCTTTTCTTATTGAATTCTCTTGACATTTTTGTCAAAAATCAGTTGACCATAAATAGGTTTATTTCTGGGCTCAGTTCTCT